TTACTAAGTAGGAGTGATAAGAAGTGGGGGAGCTCAAGAAATCACTGCAGTGACTGTCATTCACGTCACAGGGGTACTCAAAACATATTCCTCCTAAAGCTCCAGGCAGTGAAACGTTGTGACATTAGAAGTGCCCACTGCAAAGGTCTGCTTGAGAACCAGTTCAGTAGCAGCACGTTCTCACACAGAACAGGGATTTCTCTATCAGTCTGTCCTAAAGCAGATCAAGTCTAAGCTCTATCCAACCCGCAGACGCAGGACGAGAAACTGCCTGTTTTTCTAGTTTTGATTCTTAAAAAATAAAAATAAACCTGTTTCTTCAACTGCTTTGTTCTGATACAGCATCAGAAAGCTCCATATTAAAAGTCTCTCGAGTAGCATCTTTTGCCAATCAAGTAATGTAGCTTAGTTTGTACTCACAGATCCTAATTTTCCTCTTATTTTATACAAAGATTCTTTTCCTCTTCCCCTCCAGAACAACCATAATTATTCTATAAAAATACAGAGCATATGGAACGCTTTCCTCCAAGCAATGGAACAGAGCGCCATAAAAGCAATTAACATTAACAGTTTATTAGAGGAGGTTTCCCTTCCCCATCATCTACTCAGAGCTGCTGTGAAATTCTATTGTAGTCACACTGTGCAGGGGTACAAAGCAGCTATGAAAGGATCTGCCTGCATTACACAGGGTTTACTGTTAATTAGCTCTTGTATACACACACAGTACATAAAAAGAGCTTTTTTGTTTAGGAAGCGATGATTTGTTGAGAGGACGTCCTTTGTTGATATAAAGCTAGCATTAGGATTGTAATTTCAGTTAACATCTACACATCATTTTATGTAACCACTTGACAACGGTGGTCCTGGCTAATTAGTTTCTTTTAGTTAAAAGCAAAATGTGAATGAAATTTTCTTAGGGCATGAAGAGAGACATCACTTTACTCAGACCAGTAACATCAAGGTGCTAGTTCTTTCCTATCATAGCCACCACATGCTTCACACCTTCAGATTTGCAATCTCTCATGCAGCGGAAAACAGAAACTTCACTCCTCCTTTGATGACCTCTCCTCTCTTAGTATTAAGCTGAAGGAATCATCGGAAGGATGAACACATTTAAAAATCATATTTTAAGTAAAAACTTTGTCCACAGCCTAGCTTCAACAACTGAGTTAGCCAAATGTTTCTGGTGGACTTGGGAGCAGGGGAGTGCAGAAGAACCAGCCTTTCATGACTGCCTAGAGTAATTTTCTTAATGAACAGCACAGTATTATTTTTACAGTTTTTCAATCGTCCTTTTAGGCAATGGTTACCCAACTCTTTGAAGGAGGCATACTCCTCTTTTTGCTCTTTGTTCCAGAGCTAACAAGTATGCTCTTCCACTCAAAGAAATCACCAGCTACAATTGTAAGAAGGTACTGAAAGGATGAGTGGCATTCTAGTAAGGGGCAGGAAAGGAGGACAGATATCTCCTTTGGGTACCCTGGGAAATTCCAGCCTCCATCTGCTTTCCATCTTTGCTTTGGGGATTTCTAGGAAAGGCTGATCCAGAAGGGGGAACCCAACTGTAGCCTTACAGTAATAACCTAGTACCTACTCCCCCCAGGCAGAGAACAACAGGAAGAGCTACGAGAGGCTGAAAAAGGCCAGAGCATAAGGCTCTAGTCTCCTCTCTGCTCCCTGGGCTGAGATTCTCAGCACGGCAGGGAAGGAAGGAAGGGAAGAAGGAGACCGAAAGGAAGACAAGAAGTGATGTTCATTACATGCCAGCTAAGGACTCCACCTTGCATAGGGAATTCTCTGCTGGCCTGTCCCATTCCTTTGGGCCTCTGTGTCACCTGAGCAGCCTGAAGAGGTCAACCAGAAAACCTGCTCAGCAAACAGACTCCGTGAATCACACGAATTACAATCAGACAACATTGTGATAGGAACGCCATGAATTAAACATGGTACAAATACAGGTAGAATATGTCACAAATGTGAGGAAAGGCTTCCCCTGCCGTTTGATTTCAACTACAGTAAATCAAGAGCTATAACGACAATAACCAGAATTTGCAACTAACCACAAGCCGGAAGAGGTACTCATTTCTCCCGTGACTTCTAACTCCCTTAGAGTTGGAACTCGCAGTTAAGAATACAGTGAAAACCTTTGTGACGATAAATGGAACACATGAAAAATAAGTGTGGGTCCTAACAGGGGAAAAAAAAGGCACGTAAGATCCAGCAAGTAACCTAATAGTCATTTGAAAAAATCCATGAAGTAGTATAGAGGAAAAGGGCTAAAATAGCCCTTATACGTGGCACTGAGCTGGAAACAGGAAAAGAAACAGGTTTCTTGCATCCTCTTGGGACAGAACTCTATTGAAGCTAAGGGTTTTAAAAACACCAAACACCTATGCCGAAAGACATGCAATGCCAAAAGGATTTTTTTCCACATAATGTAAGGGACCAAACATAAGCAGAAAAAACGAACTTTCGTCAGTCATCTGGAAAGCAAGCCATGTGATGCACATCGGATTAATCTTTATTAAACACGACAGTAAGAATCCCTTTGCTATTCTACCAGACTCTTACAAAAGCCCTCAAGTCAATGGATCATGGCAAAACCAATTTGCAAACTGCAAAACTGGAAAGAAAAACAATGCTGGTATGGAAACAGGTGAAGATGAGAAATATCTCACTGTTGTGGTTAGAGCCCCGTTCTCACTCTCAGCTGCCTGAAAAAGCAGAGAACCCTGCCCTTCAACTCACTGCTAACTCCCATCAATGGAAAACATTTAAGTTGATGGATAAGGGTAAAACTGATTATTAATTATTTTAAGGTCTGTATGTCTAGGGAGCGCACACCAATTGTTAAAGGGATATGAAGAAGGTTCTATCTGAAGTGAAACACATCCACTTTTGATTTACACCCCTATTATAATAAAAAGTATCACTTTTGCCAGTGCAGTTTTGTCCATTTTTAGCCCAAACAAAATGAACCATTTTCATAGGGTGAGGGGAAGCACAATTTCACTGATCTAATAAACACAAAGCTATGAAATTTCCTTCTTTGGCTTGAAAGTGAAAGAATACATACATATTGACATTTAAACACTTTTCCTAAAATAAATCCAGCAAATTTGGAACAAAGGAAAAAAAAAATCCATCAGATCTAAAGGAAACATTTGATGGTCTTCCTCCTCAGACTGAATGGAGCAGGAAATTACTCACTTGAGCAGAGTAAAACAATTGCTTTAATATCCAATCCTCTTGATAATTTGTTTTACTACCTTGACAGTTCACAGAGACAAAACCTATGATTTACACATTGTAAAAGCCAAAATAGGCACTGCCTGCTAACACGTGGCTTAAGCCTGGCACCCTACTAGACAACATTTTCTTTAGTGTTGTGTCATCGCATTTGAGGTTCCACTCCTTTAATTCCACTTTTAAATACAGGGCCCAATCTAACACCCACTGTGATTAACAGCAGCCTTTCCATCAAATTCAGTGGGTATTTGGCAGTGCCTCCAGAGACTTTACTACCACCTGAACATTTTCAATGCAAAGTAAGTTTTGGAGTTATACCACTTGAATCAAAGAGTGAACAAGGTCTAGACTGGCTTTTGGGCTAACAGAGGAAGCTAGACCGAGAAGCCTGTACTGCTGTACTACAGACAAAAAGTTGTCTTCCCAGTATAAAGCCCTTAATGTTCCCTCAAAACCTGATTAAAAATCCAACTGATGAAATACATGTTATTTTTAAATGGGTTACTAAAGCAAAGAACTTCAGCATGGCCTTCATTCTCCATAGTTTGGTAAGCCCCTTAACTTATGCAAATAATAATACCTTTTCTGTATTTGTGCTTTGAGTAAAGCTCACAAAATAGGGTCCTTTGAAACTTATTGCTTGGTTTGGGCAACTAAGTTTGGATGAGTCCCCCACAGAAGTGCCTCAAGCTGGATATCCCAGATCAGAAAGATTAAAAAAAACACTGAAATACTGGAAAACACCATCTTCTTCTGTTGTTTATTCTTTGGTCCATGAATTAAGTCAGAACCGATATTGATTTAAATAAACAAGTTTACCATTTGACAGCATTTAAAGAATACTGTTTTTGAAGTCTAAGCATGTTCTCCCTCAACAGCTAGCAACAGGAATATGCACGTTAGGTACACAACTAGGAAGGAAAGGCAACCTTAAAATCTTTTCTTAAAGACAAGGAAAAAAAACAAAGTAAAATCCTTAATGAGGTGAAGTTGATTGAAATGATACATTTTCCATCCAGCCTTAGCTCATGACAGTAATCCCAAAGCCTGGAAGTCATACTAACCAGTTTGAACTTAAAAATAAACAAACTCAAATGGCGGTGAAGGTCTTTCATGAAAAAGAATGCTGAATACAACTGGAATATTTTGGGAGTCCTCCTACATATAATTTGCTTTGATCATCATTACTGAAAAATAAAATTACAATTTATTTTTTTAAACAGAAAATGAAAAGAGAAGATCAAAAAATAGTGTTATGTAACTTAAGAAAGAAATTCAATTTTGCTGAAACATTTACTTTTTTCCAGAGAAGAGGTATGGAAGAAAAAGCTTCATTTGCTTTTAAGCTCTGTCTAAACAAAACAAACAAACAAAAAAAACCCCAAACCAAAAACACCAAACAGGAAAAAAGGAAATTCCAATTTAACCAGAATTTTCACCATATTTACTTCTAGTAAAATTTCATCAAGAAGCATGTATTTCTGCAGAAAATTTCAGAATTGAATCCTTATTAATTTAACCTAAATATAAAATTTAAAAAAATGGCATTTTCTAATCAGCCTAAACGCATAAAATAATTAATTGGCTTTCAAATGGAAAAGTGTATTTGGATGTTCAGAGACATATCTTACTTAAGGACAAATTATGTTCTCCCCATAACCGGTGTTTCTGAACAAACTGGATAGTATAACGTTCCTATGGTAACCAGGGAAGGACCTTGCGTACAAAAATGGAAAAGTGGTGGATGTTACCTAGCATGTTGTGGTAAAGTGGACTGTCGTGTCCATGGATAGTAAATGCAGTCATGACTAGCGGGACCTCTACACCTGCAGGCAATTACAGAACAAAAGGCGTCATTTGCCATTCACAAGGACATGCACACGCATGCACCCTTGTCCACACGTGGAGGATGGAAGACACACAGGGAACGATCACTCAGCAAGTACCTATCCATCAGGCCGATGCAGTCCTCAATACGTGGCCCTATGCACCTGCAGCAAATCCAAATTGAAAATAGGGAGAGAAAGAGAGAAATCTGTTATTCACAGATCCAAGAAGCAGGAATCCCCTCTTTGTGACACATTCTTCATTATAACTCTCAAGAGACCAAAGTCACCACAAAATTATAGCTTGTGACAAAAAGCTTGCAATGGAACAGTAATAGCAACATAAACAGCACTCCAAGGTTGGACATGTCTTGGCTCAGACAACACTTCAGGCAGGTTTCACCTGCATATGTGGGAGTCCTGACAATAGAGTTGCTTTTTCTGGGTGTTGTCTGAATCATCAAACCAGTCATTACTGCACAAAAGCTGTTCATTTGCAAGATGAGACCTCCAGGAGCACAATGCAAAACTTTTTTTCTTACTGTAATTGATGCGATTGTTCATTCTGTTCTAAGTTCCTAGCTAGGGCAAAAGCATAAATATTTTGGAAGCTGAGTATACTTTTATCAAGGAAGCTCAAGGATGAACTTCCAACAACAAAAAGCAGAGTAAAGTGTTGTTTGCTGATTCAAGCATTTTTTTCTGCTTTCCTTAGATGCTGCCAAAAGTCCTACACCTGCAAAATGAGCAGATGCTCACCAAAGGCAATGGAAATGCAGGGAATCACTTTATGCAGCACCACTAAAGCACAACTAGGGGGCAAGAGTCTGTCTGCAAAACATGGATATGTGTGGATTTTCCTGGTCCTCAGGAAGAGCAATAGGTGAAGTGGTGTTCTGGGTCCTCTGCATTCAAATAGCAAGTCAATGACACGTTTACACAGCAGTCTGGACTCTCACATATGTAATGTTAAGCTTTTAGAGACAACCTGACACCCTTTAGTGTTGCACACCCAGCTACTCCCTCTGTAGCCATGGGGAGTATCCAGCTCTCAGCATTTTAAGGAAATCAAACCACCTAGTTCAACTCTTTAACTAAAGATCTCAGAACCTTTTTAATAACAAGCTCTTCGGCTGTACATCTACTACAGGAGCAGGTGATCTGACACATCAGTAGACTGAAACACACTTCTGTTGAGGCATTTTAAATTTAAGGTCTGATCCCCAACTCTTTTTAAAGTCTCTCACTTTCAGTTTGTCTTTGATAGAGGGATATGCATGTCAAAAATCTGAGAGAGTTCAAACATGCTCCCATGAGATGATCTTTCCACTTCACCATCACTTCCACTCATCAGCTTTTGCTGCATTTAAATGAGCTATCAGTCTGCCATTATAAAATAAATTCAGTGATTTCAATTTCCTCTTACTCGCCCACCAGGGAGAGAGAATAATAGTGAACCTTACCTCGTCTGTTTACTTGAATTGTGACATGCAAACACACATTGTAAGGATTTCCTCAATAACGGTTCCCTTCAGCAAATGTGCAGACATAAAAAGGATTCATTAAATACCCAGTTGGACAGCTAATGCATAAAGTGGGAAGGGTAAATTTAAACGCGATTCAAAAACTTAAGAGAGAGAACTCTTGATGGGTGTTTTTTGAAATTTCAGCTGTCCTGGGCTTCGGGACTTCAGAATTCAGGACTGAGTGAATTCTAACTAGTCTCAAACATATCCAACATTTCTTCTTTTCATGGCATTCTCAGCAATTTACAGAAAACCAGTTCAGTAGAGAAGGAGGCTGAAAAAAGTTTTTTAGGTCTTCCATTTCCTAGTGTGTCACGAGAAGCTGAGCTCAGACTCTTGCTATAAATAAAAAGGCCCTCTTCAAATTAGAGGTCTGAGAGCCCATTACTAGTTCAGATACCTGACAGACTAACATAAAGAGTCTATTGTCTTGGAGTCATTTCACATCTGTACATTTATTCTCTCAGACTTTTGGAGAATAGGACTAGAATCCAAGAAGAGAAAAATGTTTGGACCTCACCCACTCCAAGTTGAACACCATTGATTTTTATTTAAACCTGTAATCTTCTTCAGTGGATTTCACAGCCCCAAACAGAAAACTCTGTCCAGGTGCAATTTCCATTACTCCCGGGCATGTTAACAGTTTCCTACTCTCTGACTGGCTGTCCTGATTACATGCAGCAAAGTACAATACTGTGTGAGCAATGGCAATATCTATTAACAAGTTATTCTGCACCACCAAGTCATCAGTTATTTTTCCTCTGGAAGTAACTTCCTTGGTTTCAGGCTTTTTGACACATATAAGTACAAGCATTACACAATCATACATCACAGTGGTATTCCATTCACCCCCAGGGTTCCTTCTGCTTTGAGTCTGGATGATATTTTCATTTTCAAGTTTGGTCTGTAAAATGAGCTGGTTAACTGATACATGTCAATTTATTAATGATATAGTCAGTACCTTACAACAGTCCAATACAGCTTATACAGAAAATTACACTTGGAGCTCATCCTAGCTTTACTGTTAATCATCCTCTGAAAGAAAATGATGAGTTAAAACAGTTTTTGAGCAGCTTTAAGTTTTGAAAATTGGTGTAACATCTGCTTTTTCCTGAAACAATTGTTTTTCTCTCTGTCACAAATATTGTCTTTCATCAACTTTCCATAAGATTGCAACCTGGGGTCTTAACTGTTCACAGATGTGGCGTAGCGAAGTCACTTCTAGTCAGATGAAGTCTCAGAAATCTTTGTCATTAGAAACAAACAAAACTGATTGTACAATGTCATAAATGGATTAACTCTGGACAGGAGAAAACCCTGGTTGCAGCAATGACCTGGTCATCCAACTATTGGTTTGGATAAAGCTAGACAAATCAAAACGAGGGCGTTACTTAGCTAACAGGGAGCGTATACTGATGGTGGCAGCAACAAAGTTGAACCGGGGCAGGGGGTAGGAGGAAATTCTGCATCAACAACATAGTAATAGATTCTTATTCAGAGTTTGTTGCCACTGAATTTGTACTATTGTTTGTTTCATCTGGAATTCACAATGCCTTCCTAAAAATACACCTAAACTTCAGGGGCAAGACAGTCCTACTGCCTTCAATTCCCTTCTGGACCACACACGTGTTGATAAGGCTCCCATGACTTTGCTGGACTTGGCTTAGAAGGATAATAAACTTCTGGTGAGGAGTGATACATTTCCTTCAAAAAGTTGTGTGTGAAAATGCCTTTCTATGATGAGGGGTGGTGTCCAGTGAGACCTCCCACTTGTGTCTTGCCCAGCAAGGAAGCAGACTGTCAAATGCTATTATATAATTAGTATTTTATTTCTCTGAAAGTGTTCCATTTTGGCTAGCTCTGCAAGAAGAGATGCCAAATGCTTTCTGACTCTCCTGAATTAAATGGGATAGCTGTCTCACATGCCTCAGATCTGCTCCAAACTGGCTTCAAGTAGCTGATGTTTATCATGGGGATGCAAGGCCAAAAGCACAGTTGCTGCATCCAAGGAAGTAACTCCTTGATAGTTCTCTTAGTCAATATAAGATCATTAACAGGGCTGGATAATTACACACCTATTAACAGAAGCAGTCATTATACTTGAATAAGGGAGGAGAATGGTGTTATAAAATCTCACGCTCTAGGGTGTAAAGTAATCATCTGCAAGTACCATGGCGAAGTTGTGACAAAACGCTCACAGAAAACAGGGAGGTGGGACAGGTATCTTCCTTGGTGACAGCAACGGGTGGGAAGACTAGAAACAATGTATGAGAACTAACAACCCATTTTAGCAAGGACCCCGATTCAAAGAGAGCAGCACTGCGGGAATGAGAGAATACTGCACTGGGAGCCCTGCTCTGCACCAGCTCAACACTTTTGACGAGTACCCAAGCTGTACTGCGAGGGCACAGGTTTTATTCCAGCAATTGATCTGACAGAGAGGAGAACAGACATGCTAGATGAAGTAGAATTACAATTTCTCTGTACCATTCAGTCATGAGCCAAATATCAAGATGTTCCCTCCACAACCTAATTCACTGAAGGATCTTGACTGAGGGGAATGTAAATATTAATTTCTAAAGGAAGGGTTTGAAACAAGGGAATTCAGTAAGGAAGGAGAAAAGGAGAGTAGCTGCTTTCCCTTCTTTCTGTGGGCATATTCAGCCCCTGACAACGTTGGCAAGAAGATGAACAACCCAAAACCACCAAACATCTGGGGAAGTCATTAACAGTTTCATTAACATAACCACATGCCAGAAAGTCCTTTTAGGAACACTCAAAAAGAATACCCATGCTTACCCAGATTTGGGGGTGGTGGGGTGTTGTTTTTATAAGGGGTGACAAAATACCTAAGAATAGACACATTAACCCTTTGATAAGGGGATGAGGATTTCTATGAGGAATAGTATTTGACTCATGGCAAAGGGGTAACTCCTCATGTGGGTGATAACCACACCCCTTTGCCTACGTAACCCAGGTGAGACCTCTGGCTCTTTTACTAGTGGTACTTGGTCATTTCTCTGGAGTTTGAAAGAATGAGGCATTCTTTCACCTAATCAGCTGCACACACAACAACAAAAAAAAAAGGGGGGGGCGGGGGGGAACTGAAAGTTCAAGGATTAAATGGCAACATAATTCAGCATAAAGGAACCCTGTGTCACCAAGGATTGCCAATGATTACTGGCAAATTCAGTTACGACTGCCTAATGCTCTTCCTATTTGTTTATGAACTAGAATGTCAGATTTTCATCACAAGGCATAAAAGCCTCCCTTCTTGATCTCGTTCTATCCAGGGAGATAAAAACAACCACCCGCTTGCAAAATAATGACACATATGAAGTGGAAAGGCACAGAAAACATTCTGCTCCTTCCTGATCTAGGAGAAACACAGCTGTGCTATGAAGATTAGCAACAGTAGGATCAGTTAGATCTCCCCAGAAAAGAGGGGGAAATGGGAAGAAGTGTTGCATCCTGGTCTTCTGAGAGGCCAGCAGAGTTGCAAGGCACTTCTTATGCAGGGTGGGCAGTAAATCTACCATCTGTAGCTGGGCCTGTCAGATTCAACCAGAATTGGCACTTCCACCATCTATTAAAGCCAGGACCAGAGCTCCTGAAGTGAGCTCATCTTTTCATATTGTTTCTTCTTACACCCTTCTTCCACAGTAGCAGCATTTTTCTTATTGTGTAACTGACTTAAAGGGGAAGACAAATCTGTAACAGATCCTGGCTGTGTCTTTGTGATCTCACTCTCATTTCCCTAATGGCTCTATTGTAATTAGATTTGCAAAACCAGCAAAAGGTCTCATTCTGAATGGCAACAGCTGTTGACATCAAGATTACACTGAATAATTTACTGGTTTAATTTTAGCTTCTAAACAATAAGAGCCTCTTGTCAAAGATTATTTCACTGGCTAAAGTTTTATTCTTTTTTCCCCTGGCTGCCTCTCCCTTTCTTTGTGTGCTGGACACCACCAACTGTCTCATTGAGAAGACATTTATAACTTATGTGGACCATGCAAAATGATAGTTGTGTATGTGACTGCTACTGTTTTGTTGCATAGATTCCTGATTCTGGCTTAGGTACATGGGCTGTAAATTTCCAAAATGTAGTAAGTGATTTTAGGCACTTAGGCAGGACTTGAGAAATTGATGCTCAGGCTCCTGTATAGAGTCTGGTTTCCGACAAACCTTTTGCATCAATCCACATATGAAAAAGAGGGCAGTAACACTTTCGTCTCACGTAGTGTTACTGGGCTAGTTTGTCAATACCAAGGAGCAGAGATGAAAATTCTGTCAAAAAGTAAATACTAAAAATACAGTAATTTTACAGGCCTACGCTTACGTTAAGTGTCAATGGCAGCATTTGCTACAAACCAGTGCTAGCTAGAAGGAAGGATAAATGCACAACTGTGGAAAGTTGTTCTCTATGCTTTTCAAAAGGAGTGTAAGCTTTTTTCCTGATAAGCTGCTGGACATTTGTGACTGGAACCTGAATGTCACGAGATGCTTGGAAATCAAAGGTTACATTACTGCTGCACACACTGTTTTCAGGAGTGAGACAAGTCCTTTACTAAGCCAAATTGTATCTTACTCATGATGTGCTATAAACAGCAAATAGGATGGCTCACTTCACAGAATTTGCACTTACCCTTGGGTGCAGTTTGGATGACATGGATGGCACTCACGATCCTCATCAGCGTATTTGAAAATGAAGCTGTTGGCCCCCTGTAAGCCATCAGGACATTTTTCCACACAATTTGGACCATCCTTAAAATGGAAACACTTTGTGCAGTGGTCAGGTCCCTGGAGAGTGTGGAATAAAGAAATGCAGCACATTCAAGTTACTCTGTCTTTTCCTGCTGCACTAGAATTGCAGGTCCTAGCATGACAGCACACTCAGCAAAAACTGTAGTAGCATCTCCTTCCTAACAAACAGTGAGTTAACTGCATGCTTCCAGTCTCTGTCAAGGGGCAGCACACATGTAATCCTGGTGCTTTTAGCCATAAACTTACTCTGCAGAGCATGAGACTGAATTCCAGCTTCTAAACATGTTTCTCAATATTACTGTTGTGCTTAGCACAATGGACTTCAAGCCCACTTTAATGCTGAGCAATTTCCTCCAACACTGATCAATACGGAACCACATTTGAAAAGCAACTGCAATGGCCTTTCAGTGGGATCCCCTAGCTCTGCACTCCAGAATTACTTGCCACACTGTCCCCTCCCTATGGTATCTGGTTACAACAATAGCAAAGAACTACAAAGTCTACTTCTTCTTAATACACATGTAGACTAGACTGTTAAGAACTATAAACCAAGGCTCCCAGACAACGTAAAAGTAAAATTTTAAAGCTGTGATGATAACCCAGTGTGTAATCAAAACTGGTGTTCAGGTTGGGCACTGGTCTAGGGTTTTATGTCCACGAGCTCTGCTACAAATCCGCATTTCCCTCAGGGGCTGAACACTTGAAACATTAGCTCCGTGCTTTATGGTTGTGTTGCATAAACAGTATTGCAACAAAAATGATGATGAGAATCATCGTCAGCATAATGCCTTTTTTTCCATTCAGTGGGTAAGTTACAGAAATAAGGAAATTGAGTTATGGGTTAAATTTTCTCAGTGATGAAGAGCTAAAATACAACAATAGCCCAGAGTACTTGTGACTTTTAATCTTGGCAATATACAAAAGACCAAGAGAAAGAGACAACTTCTATCTCACAAAAGAGCAATAATCTTTAACAGAAGACTCACCGGCCATTATAAAAATGGGAGCTGCGGTTAACATTCATTTACAATGCACGAAAAAAATTCCCTATAAAAACAACCTAAAAGTCTAACCTAAGTAAAAAACCCCCAAACAACATATTGTTCAAGCTTGCTGAGAGATTGAAACAAATTATTCCCACACTTTTGAGTATGTCAGGGGGGAAGGTAACTGAAGTTGTAGAAGAACAGGAGAGAACTTACTATAAAGAATGAAAACATTTATAAAAGAGGGCACTCATATTGCATATGTCCTTTAAAAACTTTGTGCATCTCTACCACTAAGGCATTAAGACAGCTCAGGAAAGAAAAGGACACTACTTCTTAAACCATTTTCTAAAAGAGGCTGATCCAAGGAAGTTTATTCCCAGCACCAATTTAACATGAGCAGAATTCTTTACCTACATGAAAAAAAAATCCCTACATGCAGAATATGTGTATTTTCTGTCTTTATTAACACTAATTTTCAAGAGCTGCTTTAAATTCTACAAGCAGAAAATGCCTGTGCTTTAGCACACTTTAACAAGGTAGCCCGTGATACACTGAATTTTGTTCTTACCGGCCCATAGCACGTGATCATATTTTCTTCCATCTTTTCACACTGGGGATCACACTCCACGCAGACAGAACCGTTTGCAAATTCTCGAAATTCCCTAGGAAAATATTGCAGGCAGGTTAGGAAAAAGCAAAAGCGAGACTGAAAAACTGAGGTAAAATGGCTGGCTCTTCACCTGGTGGAAATCATTTCAGCTTCACCAAGGTCAGCTGACTGTGCCAGCTGAGATCACTTCTGTTAACAGCTTTATGCTGCTTTGCACCAGCTGAAAACCAGGCCCCATCAGCAACCTCATTCCCAGGCAGGTGAAGCAGAAGTCATCTTGTTTACCAGTATAAAACTAGCGTGTTTTTTTCTCCTCTTTCCTTAAGAAAGAAGGACTTCATTAACAGGATAAAGCAGCTCATTTCTCAATTTTTATTTATGGAATTGTCCCTCACAGCTCAGCTTCTGGAAGCCACTTGTTACATGTGAGACATCACTATCAGACAGAAAAGGATTAGAAAAAGCATTGATCACAGCGCTTTCTTGTTTTAGGTAAGTCTCTGTGCACACTCCTGTTTTAAAGCTCATTCTCCAAAAGACTCATAACTTTTTCATCAACAAGATGAAAACAGTTCTAGACTGAGGTCTGAATCTATAAAGTATCAAAACAAATCCTTTTGCTCATTTATTTCATGTACCTACAAGAAACTATCACCCAAGTGATTTTTTTTTTTTTATTAACCACTTACAAGAGGTGGGAAAAAAGTAGTGATAGTAAGTGGTATTTCTTCCATCAAACACCAAATATCTCATTTCAGTTTCCAGTTGCCACTCACAAAAAACCCGTTAGCACCTTCTCAACATAATTCATCCCACCTTCCTCTAGGCTGAGATGAACTAGCATCTGAACAGGTCACTTCCCTCCCACTAACCACAAAGAGATGTAACTAGCTCAGACTGGACACCTAAGCTTTACAGATGGATCCCATCTTGTTGCATTAACCAGTTAAAATATTTGCATTAAAAAGTTCAAGTGCTGCACACACATGTTAGTGAGTTCTAGTAATATTCAGGTAAAGGTGAAAGCCTCTGTGCTTAGTTTATCCATGTTCTCCCTCTGCTCCTCTACGGCCATTAGGATCTATTGCAACAATACAGCCGAGGAAAACCTCACTTGACCATGGCAAGGGAGCTCACCCTTCTCCGGCTTTGGAGATAGAGCTTTCCTGTTGAGGACTAAAAGAGAAGTCAAATACATTCTGACCTTACCCTGAAGTACTGTTGCTGCCCTGAGAGATGAACATGCAGAGCTCTCAGACAAATGAAAAGCTTCTCCCCCAGCCCAGGTCACCAATCACTTCAAATATTTAAGAAGGAACTGAGCCTGTGATAAGTGTAAATACCATTCACTAATCAATACAGATCAGAATTGGTACCAGTCTGAGGGCTGGTCATGAAAGCCTCCTCGTGATCTTACTGCGATAGGCTTCACAGTGACACCAGCCACCAAATGTGGTCCAATATATTCTGGTGCACATGAGAACACAAGCGTGGTCTGCAACTCTTTTTTTTTTTTTTTTTTCCTCCTTCTTCGGGGGGGTGGGGCACAGCTTTTCAGCATATAAAACCGTAGTCTGACAAGAGGTTTTTTGCATGCATTGTCCAGGTAGAAGAGTTTATTTTCACGTATCTATGGGAGATCATTCAATACTCTTTCCATAACAGTTACATGAGTTGGCATCCAAGGCAGGAAAAGAAAGAGAAAGAAACCATACAGTGATCTTATTTTCAATTAGCAGTATGAGCTCAAAAAGAGAATTAAAATAATTTAGGTTTTTTATCTTGACCTTTTAAAAGAGGTGTCAGGGACCCTGCTATACTGTTATATAGGAAGTCAAATTCCACCTGCTTCCCTCCATAGCCTAATTATGAATTTCTCTGCTGCAGCTAATATAAGCAGCTCAGCTCTATTTTTCTGTCATAAGCCCAATTCAGCCACCATGGCTGTGCCCTATGTAGGTATTCGTCCACCCATCCTCCAGAAAAGATGATGCACATGCATGAATGGGGGAAAAACTCACTGGTTTTATTATTTATATCTGCGTGTACATATACATAGTGTATTGGGGGGGGGGGGGGAGGAGGCAG